GAAAGACAAAGAAAACAGAAGGTGAAGGAACGTAATTTGTACTCCTCTTAACCTTCATTATTTATCAAATATACTTTTTTTAATAACCACCTTTGTAGCACTTCAAGACATGCCTAAAAGCCAGTATTCACTCTTTTACAGGCCAAGTGAATAATGGAAAGCCTGGAGAATCTTGGCTTGCAAAAGGCAATCAATAAGGTTAGTTTGAGCCTACTCTTTTTTGGAGGAATTACTTTTTCATTGAGAGAGAAGGTGACGGATGGCAACCCAGAAGAAGCTCTAGAGAACAGAGGGAGCCCGAAAACATGGGTGTTAGTTTGCATGGGTATAGTACCTTGTTTATAAAAAGGCCTCACTGATAGTCATATAACCTGGGGACATAGGGAGTATTTTGTCCACTTTTTTAATTGATAACTTGAGGAACAGAGAGGTAAATGACAGGTCCAAGAGCTTGTAAAGCGTGATCCAGTAAGTTTCAAGTTAACTTTGAATCCAAACTCCCTTCAGTAACCTGATGGTGAAAAGGACTTGCAATTCCCAAATTTCCTAAAGTGCACAATGTAGAGAAGTCAGGAGCATGGCAACAACTTGCTTTGTCTTGCTGCATAGAAGGATATCCAACTCGAAGTTGAGAATTCCACATCAGAGTCTACAGGCCTTTTACTCTGCCCAGTAGTCTTTAGGTGGCTACCTTCGATCTTTCCTGCCAACAGCAATTCGTACCTCTCTGGTTTAATCAGGCAGTTCTAAATAGTTGTTGTTGGTTACCGTGGTAACAGACGCTTATGTTTCAGCTTCAAATGCCCCTTTTAATGAGGCAATTTCAAGAATATCTGCGATAAATTACCAGACCACAGACTTCACTGTGGGAAGTTTTGCTTTGGAAAAATCTAATAAAAAGAAAGCAGAAAGAATGAACAGCAAATGCAGTAGAGAAAATGGGGCCAGATTTTGAGGGGCAAATGGAAAGGATGCCAGGTCTGACTACCAAAAGCCAAATCAGAATCAATTCAAACCAGAGCTTTAAATTATAAATGGTCCCGGAAGGGCTACCTGCCAGACTGGGCCAAGATTCCTCGGAACCAAGAATGGTGAAGTGAGAGGTGGAGAGGGCAGGCATTGAGTATGTCCTACAGAAGGCTGTGTATTTTAAAGAGCTTCCATTTTCTATTTTACTACTGACTAAATGTCAGCAACAATCTTCCTTTTGTTTCTCCATTTCAGCATTTATGAAACCATGAGACACTGCGACCTGGAGAGGACACAATGAACTAGAATGTGGAATTTGGTATAGGTGAATTTCACAGCAATCTAGATTATCCACAAATCCCAAAGACGTAGCAGTCCTGATAGTGTTCCAGGATTCTGTCATTAACCTCTTATCTATTCTAACCACTAAAAATTTTACAGAAAGATAAAAGGACTTTAATACATTGCTACACTATTACATGGAAAGAAACCTTTCATAATTACCCAAAGGAAGACATGTCAATCATCCTGGTTATGTTTTAATATAAAGCATGCCTGATCTATATAAGATGGCTTAAGTTTATGCTTGGTCTAAGGCAAGAGGATAGCCTAAAAGAGCTTTCATGGACACTTTAAGTTTCTGGCAGGGCTCCTTAGGTCCCTACAGGAACGTCTTACTTTTGCTGCTCAAGGAAAGCACCAAAGAACAGATGCCTTACAGTTTGTGACAGGAGAACAGCCTGTGGATTCCGCCTACTCCCTCCAGTCCATCTGGGAGGTGGGTGAGACAGGGAGCCCACAGAGAGGGAGGCTCTCCTGGGAATCCCTCGGGGCATCATGGCTATTGGTGCTTTATTTTCAGTAGATGGCACTGTGTCTATTGAGATAAGCAAAAGGAGTCTACATGGGAAATCTAATTATTTCTAGAGAAAGCACACTGCATGTGAGAATGCATGGTATTTTTTTGACTTAGTAACTTGATAACGCAAATATTATTCAGTATTCATGTTAGCACCCTCTTTGGAGTTCAAGGAACTTTATGATTTATTATTCTGGCTCAAACACAAGGCTGTGGTGGAGCCCAGGGCCATTCTATGAGGGATATAGTTGGGATAAGAATAAATCACTCTGAACGTTCACCCACTTTATCAGCCAAACACACACATCAGCACATGTACTCCATCTGTGCCCTGGATTTCCACACTCTGCACTGGATCCCCCCTACCAGACAAGGAACTCTGACATCTCAGTTCCTGCCTAGCACACAGAAATCCTCACAGCTCTAGAGTCAAGGCAACCAGACCCATTTCTTACACATTGGTGTTCCTGTGTAGCGGATACTGTTACTTGCCCATCCACCCTTTTTCCTTTTTAATGGACATCCAATTATGCTTGCAGGAAAGTAGACCCCAGCAGCAGAAGACAAATCAAGTTTATTTTAAGTCAATTCTGGTCTTTTAAATGAGAGAAGGACCTCAAGTTTGCTTCTTAGAAAATGAACTCTAAACACAGTGTGGAGGATTGGGTAGATGAAAGGATGCCCTGTGAGCCAAGCACTGTGCTATGCACTTAATAGAATGCTCTCTTTTATTCCTCACATAATCTTGAGATAGGTACATGCTACGCACTTTACAGATGAGAAAACAGAAGCTCAGAAAGTTTAAATAAACTACTTAAAGTCACCCTTGCTATTGATGAGGCATATGATGAGATTCTGACTGTTAGAGGAGAAGTCTACTATGGGACTTCTGGGAAAGGGACATGCAAAGAGAAACCTCTCATTTCTGGCCCTTGATATTACCTTCTGAATACAGCTCCCAGGACTGCAGCAGTCATCTTGAGACAATTATAAGAGCCAACCTAAGAGAGTAAGACAAAAGCCTGAGGATGACAGAGCAGAATGGTGGAAAGAATATGGGACCTTGATGATGCTGTTGAGCTAACCTTCAAACTTCAGATCTATGTTTCAGCCACTTTGAAATAGACTTCTGTTACTTGTAGCCCAAAATACCCTAACTATTACAACCTAAGACCCTAGACATAGATGATTAGAAAAAGAATTGGTGCCTGAGCCAAAAGCTTCTACCTGTAGGGTGACTGCCAAGGGAGTCAGAATATGAGAGTCCACTCATGAGGGCCTCTATATTGGGTCATGTCTAATGAGACAAGTAAGATCCTTTCTGGGGGGCCCTGAATAAGATAACATTTTCTGCCATCTCCTGAGGAACCCTCCATCAATTAACCCATCTCTTTTCCGTATCTTCAACGTTTTCTGTTTATACTGGCACCTTCTCAAATATCATTTAAATTTTCCATATTAAAAACTAACATAACACCTTTGTCCAATACAGACCTTCTTATATATACCACTCTAAATAGCTTCTCTTTTTTACGATCAACTTATTAAAATAGTTGTCTCCAGTTCCTATCCTTCAAGTCACTCTTCAACCCATGGCAATTTACACCTACAGCCCCAACAGGACATTGTCCCTTATAGATGTTACAAAAAAGTAATAAAATAGGTTGTCAATTTCTGATCAACAAACTGCTCCAAAACTTAGTCATTTAAAACAGCAACCACTATTATCTTCCATGATTCTATAGATTGACAGGGCTTGAGTGGATAATTCTGTTCTGCATGGCGTTGACTGGAGCTGTGGTCATCTGGAGGCTTGACTGGACTAGAACATCCACTATGGCTCATTCACGTGGCTGGCAGGTGGTGTTGGCTCTTGGTTGGGAGCTTAGCTAGAAGTCATTCCTTCTCCTCATGGCTCCTCCATATACGAGATTCCCACATCATGAAAGCTGGGTTTTTAGAGAGAGTGTTCTAAGCTTGTGAAAGTAGAAGCTGCCCAGTCTCGGACATTAAACAATCTCACTTCTGCCACATTTTATTAGACAATACAAGCCAAACCCAGTTCAGACTCAAGGGGAGAGAAATACATTTCTCCTCTTGATGGGAGGAATAGTGAAGAATTTGAAGCTTTCTTAAATATGCCTCTGTTATTAATGGTCTTCCTTATTCCTAAATCCATTGAAAACAATACAGTCCTTATTTTATGTAGTATCTCAATTTTTGAAATATTTTCTTCTTTCAACTTCTATGACAACACACTCTTCTGGTTTTCTTGGTACTTCTAGGGTCACTCTCACTTTCTCGTGAAGAATCTTCTTTTCCTCAAACTCAAACTTAGGATCCCATCCTTGGTCCTCTTCTATTATCACTTTATAAACACTTATTAGATATTCTAATGAACTCTCAAGATTTGTATTACTATCTACATATTAATCATTCTCAAATCTTTACTTACAGCTTGTATTGATCACTTAAGTTCCAAACCTAGATATTTACCTAGATTTACTGAATATCTCCTATTTCCTTTTTTTTAAAAGATTTTATTTTTACTTTATTTTTCTCCCCAAAGCCCCCTGGTACATAGTTGTATATTTTAGTTGTGGGTCCTTCTAGTTGTGGCATGTGGGATGCCACCTCAACGTGGCCCCACGAGCAGTGCCATGTCTGTGCCCAAGATCTGAACCAGCAAAACCCTGGGCCACCATAGCAGAGCGCACAACTTAACCACTCGGCCAGGGGGCCAGCCCATCCTATTTCCTTTTAATTATCCTACAAGCATCACAAATTCAAAATGTCTAAAATCGAACTCATCATATTTCCTCCCAAAGCTCCTATTTCAATGTTATCTCTCTCTGTGAATAGCACCACGATTCCCTCAGTTACAGGATATAGAGAATTAATCATTTTGACTCTTTTCTTTTGCTCAACCCTACATCCAGTCACCAAAGCCAGTTAATATTATCTCCCTAATATCTTTCAAATTTGTTAAGTTGTCTACGTCTCTTTTCCAGTAGTCTGGTACTGAACTCTAATGCAGATCATTATCATCTTTTACCTGATATATTTCAGCATCTTCTATCTAGTCTTCTCACCTCTAGATTGGCCTCCTGTATGATTCATTTTCCATACTGAAACCAGAGCAGTTTTTAACAGCAATATTAGATCATGTTGTGCCCAATTTGGCAGGATATATACTAAAATTGGAACAATACAAAGAAGATTAGCATGGCCCTTGTGCAAGGATGACTTAAAAATTTGTAAAGCATTTCTTACTTTTTCTGCTTTGATGGACATACAATCTCTAAAGATGTAATTTTCATGACAATAACTGCACATGTTAGGAAAGAGAGGATGGAGCCATATAAGAGCAAAGTTTTTATATACTACTGCAATTTAATTGGTATTAATTTAAACTAGATTGCTATAAATTAAGATGTTAATTGTAATCCTCCTAGCAACCACTAAGAAAATAACACAAAAAATATAGTAAGAAAAAGAATAAGGGAGTTAAAATAGTACACTGGAAAATATCCTTTCAACACAAAAGTAGTCAGTAATGGAAGAAGGATCAAAAATAATAATAAAACATATAGAAAACAAATAGAAAATGAAAAACGTAAATATGACTTTATCAGTTATTTCATTAAGTGAAAAGGGATTGAACTGAAAGACAGAGATTAGCAAAATGGATTAAAAAACAAAACCCAACCATATACTGTCTATAAGAGACACATTTTAGATTCAAAGGCACAAAGAAGTTAAAAGTAAAAGTATGGGGGTGTCGGCCCCGTGGCCGAGTGGTTGGGTTGGTGCACTCCGCTGCAGGCAGCCCAGTGTTTCATCGGTTCGGATCCTGGGCGCGGACATGGCACTGCTCATTGAGCCACGCTGGGGTGGCGTCCCACGTGCCACGACTGGAAGGACCCGCACCTGAGAGTATACAACTGTGTAACAGGGAGCTTTGAGGAGAAAAAGGAAAAAAATAAAATCTTTTAAAAAAAGTAAAAGTATGGGAAAAGATATAATAGGTAAACAATAACCAAAAGAGACCTAGAATGGCTATTCTAATATCAGACAAAGTAGACTTTAAGATAAAAATTGTTACTAGAAACTAAGCATGACATTTGTTAATAATAGAGTTAATCCATCAAGAAGATATGACAATTATAAACTTATATACACCTAACAACCAAAACTCATGAAGCAAAAACTAATAGAATTGAAGGAGAAAATAGGCAATTCAACAATAATAGTTGGAGATTTCAATATCTCACTTTCAATAATGGATAGAACAGCTAGACAGAAAATTATCAAGCAAATAGAAGAATTGAACAGCACTATCATCCAATCAACAGAGATGTATACAACACTCCATTCAACAACTACAGAATACATATTCTTCTCAAGTACATGTGGAACATTTGCCAGGATAGAACATGTGTTAGGCCATAAAACAAGCGTCAATAAACTTTAAAAGACTGAAGTCATATGAAATATGCTCTCCAACCACAGTGTAATGAAATTAGGAATTAATAACAAAAATAAATTTGGCAAATTCACAAATACATGGAAATTAAACACAATAATAAATAATAAAAGGGTCAAAAAGGAAATTAGAAAATACTTTGAGTTGAATGAAAATGAAAACACAACATACTAAACCTTATGGGATGCAATGAAAATAGTGGCTAGAGGGGAATTTAGAGCTGTAATTGCCTACATTGAAAAAGAAGAAAGATCTCAAATCAATAACCTAACACTCCACCTTAAGGACCTAGAAAAACAAGAGCAAACTAAATCCAAAGCAAGCAGAAGGAAGGAAATAATATAGGTTGAAGTGGGAAATAAGTGAAATAGAGAACAGAAGAACAATAGAGAAAATCAACAGAACCAAAAGTTGGTTCATTGAAAAGACCAACAAAATTGACAAATCTTCAGCTAGACTAATCAAGCAGAAAAAGTGAGAAGACTAAAATTACTAAAATCAGCAATGAAAGAGGGGACATTACTACCAACCTTACAGAAATTTTTAAAAAAAGATTATGAGGTGTTATGGACAGAAAGTTTGTGTCCCCCAAAATTCATACACTGAGGTCCTATTGCTCAATGTGCTGGTGTTTGGAGGTGAGGCCTTTGGGAGATAATCAGGGCTATATTAAGTCATGAAGGTGGGGGATTTCATAATGAGATTAGTGACTATAGAAGAAAAGAAAGAGAGATGGTGCCAAGATGGCAGCATAGGCAGACTCCCTACTCACCTCCTCCCAAGGACACAAAAAATTTACAACTACTCTTGGAGAAATTACCCCTGAGAGAGAAGTGAAAATTGGATAAAAACAGCCCACACACTAAGAGATGGTGCTGACTGAGGTGGAAGAGGTAGAAATTCCCCTCTCGAGAGAAAAAAGACACCTTCGAGCTGTGGCACCTCATGGCCAGCTGGGAGCAATCCTAAGGTATGAAGCGTTCCCTGAGATCTGAGATCTGAGCAGGGGAGCATTACCACAATAAGCAGCTTTTGGACTCAGCACAACTGAGACAGATGCTATAATATCTGGCTTTGCTGGCTATTAACTACAACAGGGAATACCCCTGGAAGATCTATCAGACATAAGGGGAAAAAAAACCTCCTCTTAAAAGGCCCATGAACAAATTCACCTATTTCAGAAAGCAACCTAAAGTCACCAGAAAGAAAGGTGCACAGTCCTTTGGTGAAAGGAGACTCACTTGATAGGCTCTGGGTGCATCTCAGTGAGAGGTGAGACCTCCCAGGGACTGAGACATTGACAGCAACCATTATTGTGACCTAGCACAGGCATGCTGAGAGAGACACTGGCAGACACCATTGGAGTTCTTCCCCTGACCTGTTAATGCAGGGGTCTGCCCCCCCCACTAGAGCACTGATTTAATCCATCTCAGCCAGGGCAGGCAGCCTGCCCTAGGGACTGGCCCCACCCAATAGCAATTTGTGGGCCCACATAGGCAGTGTGCCTGGAACCTCTGCAGCTGGGTGAGTGGGTCTGCCTCTGCACAAGGGGCAAGCCTGTATTGGTGGATTGTGTGGAGCCTCTGCAGTGAAGCAACTCAACCCACTTCAGTGGGTTGGAGCATGCGCATGGGGCAGAAATGTGTTGACAGGGTTTGTGGCCCGCAGATGGTGGCACTTGTCAGCTACAGCAAACCTGCGCTTCTCAAACAGCCACATAGGGGATCTGTCCCATCTTCCAATGCCTGAAACAATTGAGTGGTCCCATGCCTGGGACTGGCTCCACTCCACTGCAATCCTGAAAGAGCTGAAAACAACCTTGCATGCTGGAGGCCCACAGCAATTATAAGCCCCTAACTCTAGCAATCAGCCATACTGGGGCCTACTCACATAACAGAAAAACTGCAATAGGAAAGTGCTATTAGACCTTTCAGCCAACTGTGCTTGGGCTTCCCACAACCAATAAAGTGTCTGAAGGATACCTAGCAGCCACACAAAGCTGAGCAATACAACCAGCCAGCCAGGGGGACACCCTAGCCTCCCTGGGCACCTGCAGCAAGAGCAACCCTGCCACAACAGATGGACACACATAACCCACACACGAGATGCTCCTAAAACATTTGGAACTGGTGATGGGAGGGAAGGACACTGCTGGGCCTCATAAGACATCTCTTACATAAAGCTGCCTCTCCAAGATCAGGAAACATAGCTGACCTACCTAATACATAGCTATAAGTACAGAGAAAGAGGCAAAATGAGGAGACAAAGGAATATGTTCCAAGTAAGAGAACAGTATAAAACCCCAGAAAAAGCACTAAACAAAACAAAGATAAACAATCTACCTGACAAAGGGTACAAACTAAGAGTCTTAAGGATGCTGATTGATCTTGGGAGAAGAATGGATGAACTCAGTGAAAACTTCAACAAAGAATTGGAAAATATAGAAAAGAACCAATCAGAAATGAAGAACACAATACTGGCAATGAAAAATTCACTAGAGGGTCTCAATAGCAGAGTAGATGATACAGAACAGATCAGTGAGCTTGATGAAAGACTGGAAGAAATCACCCAAGCTGAACAAATAAAAGAAAAAGAATTAAAAAGAAAGAGGACAGTCTAAGGGACTTCTGGGACAACATCAAGTGAACTAACATCCATATTTTAGGTGTCCCAGAAGGAGAAGTGAGAGACAAGGGGGCAGAGAAACTATCTGAAGAAATAATAGCTGGAAACTTTCCTAACCTAAGGAAAGAAACAGACTTCCAGGTACAGGAAGCACAGAGAGCACCAAAGAAGATAAACCCAAAAAGGCCCACACCAAGACACATTATAATTAGAAAGTCAGGAATTAAAGATAAAGAGGTACATAAAGATAAAGAGATACATACAAAGGAAATCCCACAAGGTTATCAGCTGACTTCTCCACAGAAACCTTACAGGCTAGAAAGGAGTGGCACAATATATTTAAGGTGCTAAAAGGGAAAAACCTACAGCCAAAAATGTTCTACCTGGCAAGGTTATCATTTAGAATGGGAAGAGAAATAAAGAGTTTTCCAGACAAGCAAAAACTAAAGGAGTTTATCACCAAGAAACCAGCCTTACAAGAAATACTAAAGGGACTTGCTTAAGTGAAAAGGAGAAGACTACAAATAGGAATAAGTAAATTATAAAAAAACAATAAAGGAATAAAATCATGGGTAAGGGCAAATATGCAATAAAGGTAACAGATCAACCACCTATGGAGTTAATATGAAGGTCAAAAGATAAAAGTGCTAAAATTAGCTATTTCCAGGAGAAGAGGGTAACAGATACACACGTACAAAAGAAGAGGTTAGATACGATATCAAAAACATAAAATGTGGGAGGAGGGGAGTAAAAGAGTAGAGCTTTTGGCAAGAGGTCAAACTAAAGAGACCATCAACTCAATATAGATTGCTATATATGTAGGTTATTATATACGAACCTCATGGTAAGCACAAACCAGAAACTTATAATAAATACACAAAAAATTAAGAGAAAGGAAGCCAAACATAATACTAAAGGAAACCATCAAGTCACAAGGGACGAGAACAAGAGAAAAACTACTAAAACACCCAGAAAAAAGCAACAAAATGGCAAGAAGTGCATACTTATCATTAGCTACTTTAAATGTCAATGGACTAAATGTTCCCATCAAAAGGCATATGGTGGCCAATAGGATAAAAAAACCGAGACCCATATATAAGCTGCATACAAGAGAGACACTTCAGACCTAAAGACACTCACAAACTGAAAGTGAAGGGATGGAGAAA